TTTTCTTCACAGAAACAAACCAAATTGCTAAGATATCGGCCTAATGTGTTTATTATTTAAGTTTTCTTACACGCCTTAAAATCAAGAAGGTCTCGCGACCCCCTCATGAAGCTTTGGCGACCCCTAGTGGGCGTCCCAACCCCCAGGTTCCTAAATATAATACAAATATAAGTAGAGCTGCAACAATAAGAGAGCTGTCAACTATTACATCAATCGTCAACTATTTTAATAATCAATTAATTATTTTGAGTCATTTTTTAAAGAAAAAAGGATCAAATTCTCAGATTTCAGCCAATCAAATGTGAATATTTTGCTTTTTTTTTAATCTTCTGTGACAGTAAACTGAATGTCTTTTGGGTTGTGGACATTTGAGTACGTCACCTTGAGCCTTTGTGAGACAGTGAACAACATTGTTCTGAACCAAACAACTGAAAATGACCAACAGGTTAATCAATGATGACATTCATCGTTAGCCCTAGTGAAGGAAGTCTAATATAATCAGATCAAAGAATGAGTTTACAAGACTAAGAAAATCAGATTAAACATTCATAGATTGACAGTTTAATATAATCTATGTTGGTCACAACCCTAAAAGTATTGCGGTTCCATACGCAGCACAGTTATACATTAATTTATCATATTGAAATAAGTGTAGTTTCCTATTTAAGCTGTCTGACCTTGTGGTCAAAAACAATTTGAATATCTCAATCATTAAAGTGGCAGTTTGAGTAATTGAATTGAATTTTTCATTTTTAATTTAATCAGAATACTAATAAATCTACCGTCTACATATAAATCACAACGAATAATGAACTGAATTACTTTTGTGTTGAAAAACGTCACACATATTGTGTAAAACTAAAACATTACGTTTAATATAATAAAAACATACCTATGAATATTAAATTACATTTCTAAATGTTATTATGTATATTTTAGTTCCTTATGTATTGGTACTGTCTTATTATATGAATCATTGAACAGATCCTGTTGTTCTTGTTTAGTTTTGTTGTGTTTCATCTTGTGCGATATATTTATTGTCGTCTATATTAATAACATCTTAAAAATATTTATTAACTAACTACTACAGTTTAGCTCAGTTAATGTTTACATCTGTTCGTCTTCAACAAAATCCTCTGTTCTACTAACCAAGAAAATAAGTGTAGCTAACAGGTAGAAACTCTACTCGTTGCTGCCCTCTGGTGGTCGGGTGTATTAATAACTAGATTAATTTGTCCCACAGCGACACTAAAATAATATTACTGATGAACTGTTTGCATTAATAAGAGAACTGAAGCAGATTACAATGACTTTATTTAGTAACTAATTACTTTTATATACAGGAAATCAACAATTCCTGATGATACAAATTCATCACGATAAACTTATTGAGTGTTTTAATCGCGATAATATCGGGTATCATTCCATTCTTACAACAATCAATTAAACTAAATAAGCATTGAATCATTTGGGTGAGATACATAAATAACCCTAATTTACTGTCATCCCATCATTCTGGGCTTTTATCTAGTAAATAAAAGGACGCCTGTCTTCCATTCCAACAAAATAAATCCTACTTTAAGGACTCTCAGAGCCTTGAAATGCACTGAAGGATGAAAATATTCCACAATGGCATGAACTAAGTAAGCCGGTTCTTTGTGTCTACTTTCTGTCTGTAAATGTCATCGTAAAAATAAATAAATAAAAGCTCTTCCGCTGCTCTGATTTACTGCACAACCGCAGTGCCCGGACCACTCGCTCCTTCCTGTAACACAACATGAGCATCATACTGATGAACGCTGAAATCAATAAGAGGTTGCATCAACTGAGCTACATGTTTTGGGTTTATTTCCACGCAGGAGAAATGCTTTTAGCCACAAATTGTATTGGAGTAAGTGCCCTTTCGTGGGGGGGGGGCATTAGGGGAGGAGGTCAGTTTTAGGTTTAGAAGCTCTTTAGAAGGCACGGGGGTCTCCACCGCTAACCAACAACCTAATCCAAAAACAGACAGCTTTACTGTGTCTCCAGAGGAGGTAGAGGGAAGATGAGGATTAAAAGGCGGTAACCCAATTAAGACAAGGCTGATGGGAGTAAAAAAACAGGGATTTATGGGAAAAAAGAGGTTTAAGGTCAAGACAGAGTGAGTGTTGTCCTGTTGTGAGATGCTACATGGAGATGGAGGATGGTTTACATTTAATTCCGCACAGTAAAGCTTGCTTGAGTTCGGTAATCCAGCAGTGAACATGACGTCCGCCTTAAAGGTCAAGTGTGTAAGTTTCAGGGAGGATCTAGTGGTAGGAATCTAATATAATAACCACAGGTGTGTTTTCATTAGTGTATAATCACCTGAAAACGAGACTAGTTAGTATCTTCTGGGGATTCCTCGATGTAACGCTCTAGAAATTGAGAATGGATGCTCCGAGCAACGTTTTATGGTACGAGTGTTTACAAGCCAGAGATTCTGCAATAGAGTTGTTCTTTATACCAATAACAGTATCGGACATCCCTCCGATACAGCCTAAAATGCTGAACCAGGTCAGCAAATATGTGTTGTCTTTGATCCCATCGATACCACGTGTTTTATTATTAGCCATTTTCTTTCTCCAGGATAGCCAAGTCATGACCCCTCCTTCTCTGACTCTGACTGAAACCCCCTTATTATATATCTTCAAATAACTAATTAAAAATCCAAACTTATCAGAAAGAATTAAATCAGTGTGATAAGAACTACTTATTGTACTTTTCTATCCCAACAGCAGGTATTATTACCTATACTGCAGTCAGCCACCAGGGGGCGATAGAGCTGTTTCGGCTTAACTTTTGTTTAACTGTCATGTCGTCCATCTTTATATGTGTCGATGGCTTGTATACACTTATTAAAAAATAATAATATACAGTGCCTATCTATTCCTTAACGCACATATATCGGATGAGTACTTGGTATCGACTGACGCACAAAGGGAAGGAAAGGAATGGTGTCGTAACTTGGTACTTCGCATTGCACCAGTTGGGCTCCTTCAAACGGTTGAATGGACGCTGAGAAAAGGTCAACACTGTCTGATAGGAAGCGCATGTACACGTAGCCTTACTGTATATTTGCATTACCACACCTCGCTGCCGACGGTCTTTTCCCACCCTTAATCAAACATTAACTGTTAAACTGCAGATCTATGAATTGTTTTGCTCAATAAAGTGTCAGGAAATAGTTCCCAGACTCCAAGGCGACATCTCCACGTGTTATTTAGTCAAACCAACAGTCCAAAAACTCAAACATATTCTGTTAATAGATATATAAAATGGAGAAAATCAGCAATTCATAACGTTGTCAAGCTGGAACCTAAATGACAAATTATATGTTTTTTCTTTAAAAAATGACTAAAAGCGATAAATTAATTAGTTCATATTCAGTTTACTATCATAGACCAGTTAAGGGACACCTTTTCTATCATTTATTAAACTGACTAAGTGACATATTTTATGTATATTTCATATTATATTAAAAACTTTACTATAAAACCAAAGAACAAGACAAAAAAACAAGAAGGCCTTGCGACCCCCCTGTGAAGCTTTGGCGCCCTCTAGTGGGGGTCCCAACCCCCAGGTTGGGAACTACTGTCACAGAGGACTAAAGAAATCAGAAAATACTCAAATCAAAGAATTTTGACATTTTATTATTTTTATTTGTGACAATCAATCAATTAATTAAGTAATCATTTTCTCTGTTCTACATCACTCTAAAGTGAATATTTTTTGGATTTTGGTCTCTAGTTCTGACAAAACAACACATCTGAGGACTTGACCTTGACCATTTCTTCACTATTAAACAATTAATCGAAACAATAATATCCAGATTAGTTAAAAATGAGAATAATAGTTATTTGCAGTCCAAACTAAATGACTACATACAATTCCTGACCATTAAAACTCCTTAAAACACATCACAATGCGAATATAGGCTGGTTCTCACAATGAGAGGAGCAAACACACACATTGTCCACTATCCCACTGTAAAGCCATCCTCCTCCATCACAGTGCTTTTATTTCCCACTTTAAAAAACATCACCGAGACTCAAACACTGAACCATGTCCTGCTCTTTGGACTCTTAGCTCAGTTCGGTCCTGCGGTCTAACCGCTGTGGTTGCTCAGATGTTTACAGCAGTCTTATTAAACCTTTAATAACTTATCCAGACAACAATTTAAGACACAACCCTTTAAAAAAACAACAACATTCACATGCCCCATGCGTGCTCAGACACAGCCTACAGCGCCGATACGCGTCGGTAGGTTAATTGGACCGTCAATTACGCAGTAATTAATTACACCTTTAAATGTTTTAACGACGACTCTCGACTGAAAACAACCAAAAAAAAACAGGAGCAGAGATGCTTTAAAAAAGTGTCACCAATTCAACAAGAGGTTTAAGTTACATTACCGAAGCAAAAACACACTTTTATTCGAGGGAATTGTGCTTAAATGAACTAAAACCCTCCGTTAGTGTGAGAGAGGTTCGGTTGGAGCATCCGAAGGAGAGCACACACGCGTTGTATCCTCATTCAAACTCCACTGGCTCCTATCCTCCTTCATTAAACTGCTTTTAAATGAAAGAAATGTGCGTTTTAACTTGCACTCACCGCTCCAGCTGAGGAGGCAGACCTGAAGGAACAGCGGTAGAAATGTTCTGAGGAGGAAAGCCATGTCTTCTGGCTGCTGCTGCTTGTCGTATCCAGTCCGAAATAATGTGAACTGAAGTGGTGTGTCGACGAGAACTTAGCCCGCAGCCCGGAGGAGACTGAGGAGGAGGAGGGAGGAGGGAGGAGGGAGCTCAATTAAAGTCTCAGGCTGGCGGGGTCCTCCTCCTCCTATTGTGGGGCTTTATGTGTGTGTGTGTGTGTGTGTGTGTGGTAGAAGCAGCTTATCAGTGTTTTCCTCTGCTACAAACTACGTCCTCTCCTAATTCACGCAGCTACTATTTTTTGGTAGAAAGTCCTCAAGGTCACGATAATAAGCCTTTACCTTATCAGCCTGCACACCTTTTAGCCCCAATCACATGGCCTGTTGGCTCAATTCAGCTTAACTGGAGCACTTTATTTACATTTCCATAGTGGTTGAAGGTAATAATGCATTAACGCCCTGAATTAAATTTTGAAGAACTGAAACTTTCATGCAGTGAGAGGAAGGGAGGTCGTGAGAAAAGAAAAGGCAAAATGTGCCCTCCGGATGCCCCTATTGTAGATAAAACATGATAGTGGCAACTTGATGGGGGCATAATGTGCAAGAAAACATGATAAAGTGCCCTCTAGGGTTCCTGTCCAGTGGATAAAACATGAAAAAGTGCCCTCTAGGTTGCTTTTCAGTGGAGAAATTGTGATAAAGTGCCTCTAGGTTGCCCTTCCAGTGAAGAAAAGACCATAAAGTTCCCCATAGGTTGTCCTTTCGGTGGAGAAAACCTGGTGAAGTGCCATCCAGAGTGCCTTTCCGGTGGAGAAAATGTGATAAATGCTGCCTTCAAATGGAGCTCATGAGTTTCTGGTTATGACAGGGGAAGTGTGCACACAATATGGTTGGCGTTCAGGTAAGCAAGCTAGCAGGCGGGTGACGTAGTGCAGGAAATACAAATACAAAGGAATAATGACGAGACAACTCAACATTTTATCATCTCTGAAAGCGTCGGCAAACGTTCCACTTACGAGGTTGTGGATACCACGAGAGCAGAGCGGTAATATGGACTAACAACCTCTTCTGAAGGCAGCAAAAAGAGCATGCAGCTGTATTTACTCAAGTAAATTAAAGGCATAGTTTGACTATCTTGGGAAATCTTTGCTGATACCAACTAACTCAGGCAGTTAGCGTAGCTTAGCAAACTGTAAACTACCAAACTCATGTTGGCACTTTGTAGAATTGTAGAAAACAACAACCTTTGTTTGTTTGTTTGTTTGTTTGTTTGTTAGGCTGATGGCTGAGATAGTAACTAAAAAGTCTCCTCCACACCAAGTGCAGCATATCTGTGTATATATATATATATATATCCCTTCTTTGTCTCAGCTCTGGTAGTTATCAGCTGCGTTCATCCAGCTGGTTGCTTTTTAATGTACCCTGAGTTATGACAGATGTGGGCAGTGTTAGGGGAGTCAGGGTGAGCTTGGCTCCTCTTAATAAGACATGAGCTCCCCTAAAAGCACTATTTGTCAAATTCTGGGGAGTCTCTGAGAGTACTCTTACTAAAATACAGATACTATGTGCTTTATCCTCATGGATCGTGTGTTAAATTGGGCCTATTATTGATGTATGTGTCATTAACTGATAGTTAAATAGCAGATGTGCTGATATAAAGCAAGTAGGACCAAAAGCTATGGTGTAGTTCACACACCGGATGTGGGTAAGACTGCACTTTCTTACTAATTTAGACACTTTTATATCCATTGATGAATTAAAGGGCATCAAAAACAATGTGGCGACGGAGGAATGTGGTTGTTTTCCAGAGAGGACTGTTTTTTAGTACATTTTTAATGTTTTTAATGTGGATTTTTGTACTTTATGTTGTTGTTGTGCTTTTGTACAGCTGCTTCCATAACCAGGTCTCTCTCTTGTAAAGGAGATTTTACATTTCATTCAAATCTCAACTGGCCTTCCTGATAAAATAAAGGTGAAATTAAAAAAACACACTTTATTGTTTTTGTGATAGAAACACAACCTGAACCCACTCATGAGGTAAAACTGAATTTATCCACAAAAGTTATGAGTTCTGGGACAAAATGCTTATTATTTCTACATGTTTCAACTCCATTATGACTTATTTAGTGACTTGTGATCACTTTTTACAGCTCTGGTTAGTCAGACACCTGCTTAGGGAGCTACTGCTGTCCTATATCACCAGTTGGTCTCTAATCCTCTGACTGAGAGACGTTTGGTTGTACCTCCCCGCCCTCAGGCTTAAAACTGAAGGAGACTGTGCCTTTGAAGTTGTGGAGGCTCTCTCTCCCTTCAGACTGCTGTGGTCCAGTTTAAAAAGCAGCTCAACACTCCCTTATATACAACATTAGATAAACTTTATTGATTGATTATAAAGAAAAGTTACAAGCGACAATGTAATGATTATTTGTTTATCTTTCGTTTTTATTCGTATATTTATTTTTTCTACTGCTGTGTTGTTACTTTGTTTGACATTATTGTCACTGTTATATCCTGTTTTTGTGCTTTTGGGAAGTAAGTTAACGTAACTTAATCCTCCAAAAAACTGGAGTCACTCATTCACATCAATTAAACGTATCTCAAAAATTAATTGTTGAAGCACCTCACTTGTTTTCAGTGAACTTACACACAGTATTTTACATACAGGTGACATAATTCCAGTTTGTTCCATTGACTCATTTCTTTAAGTTGACTTAAAGAATCATTATAAAAATATAAGCATTATATTGCTGCTGTATATTTCAGTTTATTTATCATCATACAGCCCAATTATGCATCCAAATAATCCGTAATGACCCGTGATGAAGTGTAAATATTTTATGTTTGTCACATAAAACAAATAAGAAAATGAATTGGCTACCATTTTTATAATCAATTAACTATGAACTAGTAAAAGTAAATTCAACTTTAGTGGTAGAAGATGCATTTAAGTGACTTTATTCAGATAAATTCAGTTCACATATTTTAAATAAGTTTGGAGAAATGCTGCATATGAGAATAACTTCAATTAACTGACTGGAATTAGTCCAATTAACTTAATATAGCCAAGTTACCGTAACAATAAATACTTGTAGTTACTACTACTCAAATCAAATATCTTTTATATCTTTAATAAACTCATAAACGGTTTAAGACGATCAGTTTCCTCCATCAGTTAAGTAACTCTTAACTGTTAAAGAAAACTAATAAATAGTGTTTATAAAGAAAAGACAACAACGTCTGATCATCCAGCAGTAATAAACACCCGAGCAACCGTATAAATGTTAGTGTTTCTACATCCAGCTGTTTCTAGCTCGCCCACACATTTTCTACAGGAAATACATGGCCTAATTAATATTCTTCTAATTAAAAATCAACCTGGATTATGTTGGAATAAATAGGAATAAATTAGGACTAAAGCAGCACACAATGCAGCGTTCAGAGTGAGGAGGTAGGAGGTAGGAGGTTGGATTCACTGGACTTCCTCCAGTAAAGTGAGCTGACTTCTGGTGTTTCCATCACCGAATGTAGAGTCACCTTGACGAACAGCTGCAGCAGAAAAGCTTCCTGGACTCGGTCACCCAGCTGTCCGGCTGCCGTCACACACACACACACACACACACACACGTACAGCTGTGGACGCAGGACAGGTATTAGACATGGAGACGGAAATCTTGTGGTTACAGGACAGTTGTAAAGTCCTGTAGGTTCACCAGGAAGTGCTTCTGAACATGATATAGCAGGGACAATGGGAATGTGGTGATGGTGTGCAGCTGTGGCTCAGGAGGCAGAGAGGGTTGTCCATTAATCAGAAGGTTGGCGGTTCGATCCCCGCCTCCCCCCCAGCGGCATGTAGATATGTCCTTGAGAAAGAGACTGAACCCCAGATTACTGAATGAGTTTCTGTTTGTGATGGACTTCAGCATCACTGTATGGATGTGAGACTAGAAACCTACAGTATCAGGTAATGATACACATTATTGGGTGATTAAAGATTAATTTAACATTAACTTCTAATAATTAATAGCTGTGGTTGTTGAGTTCCTCTCTTTAATGTGGTTGATTTGATGTGGATTTATAGTTTTTATGCTGTCAGGATAAACAAACATTAAACTGAAGCAACACAGTTTGGTTTAGATTAAGGTTGAGATCATTATTGTTTTTATTGTATTATCTTTTGCCATGTTTTACAGTGCTTATTGTTTATTCTATATGTTGTTACTGATGGTGCAATAGTGTTTGATTCCTGTTGTTTTACCCTGTAAAGCACTTTGTAAACCTGATTTTGAACAGTTTTATTATTAATTTTAGCAAATATCTATTTAAGATGTATTTTAACCCAGTGGTTCCTAGAGTTATTTCGCTACCGATACTAGAATCGGAAATTTCTCCAACAAAAAGCGACAAAAATTGGCGATTATGTGTGTATCTGTGCACCGATCTACTCCCATTAAGGAAGAAAATACATCAGCCAGAGTTTAATTAAGCATTTATATAACAGTTAGGCTAATGGATCGTATCTTGGAGTGTGTCCTGACTATCGGGGTGGCACGAGTGGGGCACTGACTTATGGAGAGGGTAACATGAAGTACGGACCCCAGTATGCAGAAATATTCAAATACACATACAGGAAAATAACACATAAAACACACTGCATGTTTTTTTGTATCGTGGGTACGAGGGTAGGAGAAAGCACCTGTGATGAACTCAACAATGAAACCTCATATGAGCTTCACGCTGAAGACAAAGACGGCAGCAGCAGCTGTGTGTAAAAGTGTATCTTAAACCTCGTATCAGGGAATATTTGGTTTGGATTTCAGCCAAATTCTCACTCCACTCTGGAGGAAACCATCTCTCACATGAAATCTATCTACCTTTTACTCATGAGGCCTGATTCTAACCAGACGTCTCCTCAAAACGTTGGCCCACACACTCTCTCCACTGGCTCTTTCCACCTCAGCACGCCCTGGTTAGAAGGGTCTGATTAACTAAATCTGGGACCAATTAAGATTTATATATATTTATATAAAGATTTTATACACTTTCACTATGAAAAGTTGTAATTTAAGACATAAATAATCTTTTTTCATGCACAAAAACTGGGATTTTTTATTTTTTATTTCCATTTTCTCTCTGATCGCTCATTTTGGATGCAGAAATAGCCACAAAACAGCTGTTTTC